GAATATAATATTAAGTTTATGATTATGATAAATTATATCATGATTTATCACGATCGCTTTAATATATTATTATTATATTATCATAATATTAAATTATAAAATTTATAATAATATATTATCATGATTCTATCAATAATAAAAAATATATTTTTTAAATTATGAAATAATATAGTTATAATTGAGATAAGATTATCACAATCTCAGAATATATTATTATAATTTAAATTATAAAATATTATTTTAATTATATCAATGATAAAAATTAAATCTCAAAATAATTCTAAATTGTAAAATAATTTAATAAATATTTTTTATAATTTTTTTGAAATAAAATATCTAATTATTATATTTTTATAGTTTATATATATATATATATATAATTATAATTATTATTAATAAAAATTTAGTGAGCCATATTTATCGATACCGTTAATTTATAACGTCTTAGGATACCAAAAATCTCTTTAGAATGAGTTAGTATAATAAAAAATTATGATCATGATCAAAAGATTATAAATCATGATATAATTTATCATAATCTTCTTAATATTTTTAATATTATATTATTATAATCTTAAATTATAAAAATTATAATATTATATTATCATAATTTTATCAATAATAAAAATATATTTTTTAAATTATAAAAAATATAAATATCATTGAGATAAGATTACCATGATCTCGATATTTTAAGAATATATTATTATCGTCCTCTTCTACTACACCTTTTTCTCTAATATAGCATCCGTATAACTTTCTTCTCCAGATTCTATCAGTAATAAAAAATATATTTTTATTAAATTATAAAATAATATAAATATCATTAAGATAAAATTATCATAATCTCATCGATATTTTGAGAATATATTATCACCGTCCTCCTCTACTATAGCCCATCGCATTTTCCAACTATATGAAAAAAACTCTCTACTCTATTAAAAAAAATCTTTTATTCTGTTAAAAAAATCTTCCCTTATAAAAATATATATATATATATTAATATATTTAAATTTCTTTAATAAAATTTCTTCAATAATTTTTTTTAATAATTCTTCTTATCTTCTATTCTTTCTAATAAAATAAATTACTATTTAATATAAACGATGTCTTTACGAGAAGATGTCGACACCTCGTTCTTTTTTCCCAGTCTCCCGTATTCGTTTCATTTGATGCAATCCTGCCGGGAATCAGACCACACGATCTTACGGACGACAAACTACGACTGACAAGCACGTAACGATGCCGGTATACAAAGGCATCATCTATTTGGCTTTATGCGATATATCTACATGTTTAAATCGGTCAGAATACGGGGCCCGTGGTGGAGCCACGACCACCAGCATGGGCGTGGCCGCCGGATGCCACCGGAGTTTGGCCAGCCGGGTAGCCAGCCACAACGCCGCCTGCAGCTCCACCAGCCCTCACATCCTCCCTTTCTGCCGCGTGCCGCTCTTTCGCTGCCTCCTTCTCAGCCTCCGCCTCGTACTTCCTCTCCTCCTTCCGCCGCCCCGCCTCCGCCTTCTCTTCCGAGTCCCTGGCCCTCATCTTCTCCACCTGCAAGACGACAGATACAACACCTCAAGTCATTCGTCCATAGCATTCATCGAAATAATATCCACAACCTTTTCCTCGACGGAGGCTTTGGTCTTCTCCATGCCGGCCTTGGTGGAGGCGGTGATGTTCCCCGCCGTGTCTTTAGCAGACTCCACCACTCTCTTCCCGCTTTGCACCCTGCTACAGTGTTCAGCGTGCAACTTGTGCTTGCGACGGACGGACACCATGAAACGGCGAAGCTTTATGTAGGCTTGGGGAGGACGCAGCGCGACGTGATAAGTTTGCCACGTCCACAGCGTGTTGAAGCGGTGCTTATTAGCTATATCAGATTAGGGCTTGTAAAACAGACTAATTATATATTGTTTTTATTATTAATTATCTTTAATATTTTAATCTTTCTATTTTAAAAAATTAAGTCCTTTATACTTAAAAAAATAAAAATATTTTATTTTTTTTTCTCACACCAACAACTCCTCTAATATAAACACTACAAGTGCTGTCAAATAAAAAAATACTAAAATAAAAATTAAAAAAACAATTTTAAAATATTATTTTTATTGATATTAATTTCTGGAAGCCATAGTCAAGAAACTAACTTCAATAGTCGAAAAATTAATAATCTACAAGAACGGATGAAGAGGAAGAGATAGGATCACTAAAAAGATCTCCTTTCCATCTAGTGTTTCACTTTCCAATAATTGAGTAACACTATTTTATTTTATTTTCTAATAAGACTTTTTTTTATTTTTTTTAAATAATAAAAATAATATTATAAAATTATCTTTTAAATCCTGTTTTAATATCATTTTGAGTATGTGATAACACGGAAGGCAGTATGATCCGTATTAACGCAATATCACAAGCACATTGCGGGCAAGAATGGAAGGAAGGAATATATGCGAGCACATGGTGTCGATGAAAACAAGCAATCCGACGATAACAAGACCAGTCAGTCTTTAGGTGAACGGAGCGATGTACGGAGGTTGGGTTGAGACCTCTCAACCAACACGAGTCACGGGCAAGGATCTAATTGGAGGGGGGAGCTCCGCCGTCCTGCTGCTCCTCGTTTAGGGCTTTGTTCCTGCCACGAGTATCGCCCTTCTCATCCCCCCGCAAGTCGTCGTCGTCGTCGTCGTCATCAGGGTCGTGGGCGGGGTCTGAGCGGGAGATGGCGCCACGGAGGCGGTCGAGGAGGGGCTTGAAGGCGGTTTCCACCGCAAGCCACGCCAGCGCCAGGCCTCCTGACACCAACAGAGCCCTCTTTAGCGCGCTCCCGTCTCCTCCTCCGGCGCCTCGCCGTGCCATCGCTCGATCCTCTCTTCTGTATGATGAAATGTGCAACAGAAAGACAGGGTAAGAGTCTGACGCTTTGGTGAAAGGTTATGTCGCGATGGTCTCAACTAATGGCCTTCCGATTACAGCTACTGGGCCAAATATACTACCACAGATGTTTATATGGGCTGTACTAACTCCATGTCATATCAGTCTTTTAGGGGTACAAATTTATCGCATGAACTCGATGCTTATTTTAAGTGTCCAATTTATCAATTTATCAAATTTAAAAATTATTAATAATATTATAAATTTTTGATCTTTTATAAATTGATTTAATATATCACCAATCAACATTTTAAGTTTACATAATTAATTATCATGTGACAAAATCTTTGACTTGTTACTTTAGATCAGGAATTCAAAGTCAGACGCCATCTTTCTTAGCTGGCAAAAACTTTTAACCTTCGAGGTTTTAGATCCAACTTTCATTTTCATCGCCTTATCCACTCCACAAATAAAAAAATAATAATAATAAAGAAACTAGTTTTTCTTGTAGTTTACTGCTGATCATGATATCGCTATCCTAGCCATTCATTCTAGCAGTAGGTAAGATCCTTCGCATCAGATAATATCAATTATCCTTAAAAAAAATTAACTTAACAATTCTAGCAAAATTGACTAACCAGTTAATCACTCTATTTTGTTTTCCTGCAATCATCATAGCTTTTAACATAAAAAAACTTGGATATTAACACCTCTCATGCAGATTGGGTTAAACCCATCTTCATTTATTTTGCATCATGTACAGCACATGATAGAATATGAATCCAAGTCTGCTTCTCTCATCCCAACCATGTACAATTAACATTTTAGCAGCTTAGAGAACTGATGAATTGATTGAAAAGTTGGTTATGTAAGAAGAACATCCTGCTGACACCCAAACTAAACTGATACAAGTAAACAATAGTTAGCTAGGAAGAGCATGATTAAAATGGATAATATACCTTCTGATTGGTTGACCAGCTCATGTATACATCGTCCACCGTGGAATAGGATTAAGTTATTCTAAGAATACATGCAAACTAAATACGATAAGCAACAAACTCCTAGTCATCAATCAACTTTCTTAATTCCAAAATGGTTGATGCACAGATCCAGACAACACTGGTACTCTAAAAGTAAACAATTTATTGACAGTGAAAGAACGAATTAGTTACTTGAGTTCTCCAAAAAATAAATCTGTCACTACAATCTAAAGACAGATAACTACAACAAATATGTAAAGAATTAAATTGTTGAGTGCTTTTTCTTTTCTATTTGCAGCAAGTAATAAGCACACCTCTTACAAATTCAAAGAAGAAATACAAGTAAAACAACGGACCTAGATAGTAGAGACATTTGTTACATGAATCCGGAAAAAACTGTTTGCAAGTGTGCATCAAGATCACGCATCCACATCAGGAAAGATGATCCCCTGCAAATTAATTGCATGTGGAATTTGGATACTGGAATGAAAGTTGAGATGACCGAGAACAAAACATTAATGATCAAAGATTCATCATGTTACCTGAAATCAATAATTAGTTTACATAGCTGAAGCCGTCATGCTTCCTTTTGTTAGGTCTACAGAAAAAGCAATACTGAACCCAACATGGCTTGGACTTTTCAGGTTGCACCTTAACATCCTTTTTAGTGACATATTCAGCCACGTACTGCACAACAGCCTTCAGAAATATGAAAATAAATAATTAGATCATCCTCCAACGTAAAATGAAATGTGTGAATGCAATCAAAATTATGCAGAAAATATTTACTTGTGCACCCATCTCAGCTATATGCCTTGGTGGAACCTCCAAGGGGTTCTCTTCTGCATGAAGCACACGAAGCTGTGACAACATCCCAAAAGAATCAGGAAGAACTCTAATCTGGTTGTTGCTGATATCTAGCTCCTCAAGCAACTCAAGATTGCCAATGGAACGTGGAAGAGATTGTAAATCGGCAAAGTTATTCCCTACGTTTAGCTTGATAAGTGTAGTTGCAAGGCATAAGCTCTCAGGAATTGATTCAAGCTCATTAAAGCTAACATCAAGCTCCTTCAACTTTGATAATGATGCCATTGTTGTTGGAAGTCCTTTGATATTATTGTAGCGAACAGAGAGAATCTCCAAAGATTCTAACCTCCCAACAGCTTCTGGAAGGCCCTTCAGACGATTATAATCTGCCCGAAGCTCAGCAAGAGCGACACAATGCCCAATAGTGTGTGGGAGCTCCTCAATGTCATTTGTTTCTGCATTTAATTTCTTCAACCGTATAAGATTCCCAATTGCGTCTGGCAGTGAGGAAAGCTGGTTTGAGCTCAAGTCAAGTTCCTCAAGATGCACTAATTTACCAAATATAGATGGCAACGATGTTAAATTATTCCCTCTCAGATCTAGAAACAGCAGGCTACAAAGATCCCCAATAGAATCAGGAACTTGAGAAATTCTATTCGAGTGGAGGTCCAATCTTGTTAAAGAAAAAAGAGAGCCGATCGTGGCAGGCAAGGCTACAATTCGATTTTCTGAGAGGTCAAGAGTAACCAGGCCAGAGAGCTTCCCAATCGAATCAGGTAACCAATCTATTTGATCCATCAGCTTATTCTGAAGATTGAGTTCACGAGTGCCTTTCTTTGCAGAGACTTCAATCAAGCTAGCTAGTTTAATAAGGCTCAGCTTCCCACCTTCTTCTCCTGCACGATACATCAAGAATAAGCAAACACAGATAACCATATATATTTCAAGAGCTTCCATAACGATGTACATGCCTACTGCTGACATTCCAATCCTAAGCTTCTGTTAGAACTGACTCAATGAACTTTCCTACAGTCATGTTTCTCTCTTCTAAACAGTAGATATCTGTATAATACTCTGAGCACCATTGCATATATAAAACCTAAATCAATGCTTCATTGGTCCAAAATTTTTTGTAAAGAAAATTATCAAGCATTTCAAATATTGCACAAATTCTAGCAGGAGCAGAAGAATACACAAACTATAATCACTTATCACAGGTAACTTGTTGCCTAATTAAACTATAATCACTTACCAGAAATAACTTCTTTCCTAGTTGTCTGGTTTGGGATCATTCCTCCGGACAGGTGGGACTTAGTACCAATCCCATCTATATGGGACTTTGGCATTTTCAGGAAACTGTCATCTCTAGTAACACGATCACTGCTCCTTCCAGCCTCTTTCTCTGAATGGAAGACCGATGTGGGGCTACTTGAATAACCAGTAGGAGTCTTGGAATTGGCCGTGCTAACCTTCTCAGAGTTCATAGGGATTGATGGAGCCAATCCACTTGAACTTGAAGGAAGACAGCTGGATGCTCTCTGGATCAATTTATCAAACAAGATATGGACGTTTTCCAGATCAAGCAACTTAAGAGCTTCCCGCTTCTGTTCTTTGCTCTGATGGCACACTACATTCTTCTGCATCTCTTGCAGCACAAAGAAGAGCTCTTCGGGGACCTCGAATCCCTTATTCTGATTCTGGATGGCATCGATGCGGGTTTGCTCTTCCTTGTCCACGTTGCGAACTAACGCCATCGCAGCCTCAACCTCATCTATTCCTGGTCGTGGCGGCAGAGATCGATGAAGCCTCATGATCTCTTCGACAAGACTGTCGACGGAATGTAAAGAAGAAGCCATTTCTTGCAACAAATTCAGACACGCAGATCAGGAGGAACTGTTTGGGGAGCTTCGATGAGAGAAAAATATATCACCTCACGAGCTCTTTTGCTTTTCCAGAACAAGTTTTGGGTAACAAGCAAGAAAAAGGAGACCACCTAAATCATCTTCCCCACACAAATTCAACAAAGATCTGAACTCTGGCGCAGCAATACCCGAAAGGCGCCGCTTTGAGCACAATGGCGATGAGCAAATCCAGAAAATTCTCCAACCACGAGAAGAATCACGCGTAGGAAACCTCGAAAGACGGCCTCAAAAAACCCATCCTTCTCCACAAACCAAGAAGAAAAACCCAATCTTTTACATCAATTCCCTAGAGTCTCACCCAATTATAACGGGATCTCACCAACACAAGCTCTAATTGAGAAGAGAGAAACAGATGAACCACCAACGAAGAAGCAAGAGAGATAGAGAGAGCAGGACTTCTATCTCATGGATCCCTGAGGAAGACAGCGAGGCAACAGTGATGAGGAAACGGAACGCCCGGAAGGACGATAAAGTAGCGATCTTTATTACAAATCGCGTACATTTCTCCCTCCGTTCCTCTCTCTCTCTCTCTCTCTCTCTCTCTCTCTCTTCTCGATTTCGCTTCACAACAGCGCACTGCTCTACCATTAAAAAAATAGAGAAACCAGTGTAAATAAATCAGAAATATATAAAAATAGGACCTGGAAAAGGAGCTCAATAAATAAGCCACTGCACCTCTCTGTGTCCCTCAAAATCCAGCTGTATCTTCTCTCAGCTATTAGGAAATTGTCCTGTAATAATAAATGTAAGCTGGAATTATGGGCTACTGTTAGTTTGATCCTGAGAGAGAGAGAGAGAGAGAAGAAGAGCCACTCAAGAAGGCCACTTTGTCTTGATACAAAACAAATGTAAGCTGGATTTATGGGTTTCTGCTGGTCTGATACTATAAAAACAGAGAGAGAAGGAGAACATGGGACGGGAAGGCAAGCAGTGGGCGATGGTCCTACCGGCGCCGGCGTCCACCAACACGTCCTTGTGGCTCTCGTGGCCCATCATTTATTATATGCTTCTTTTGATCTTATCTCCATTTCCGAGACCTACGGCTCATTTGCAGGTAAATCTACTTTGGGTTGCCTTGTTGAGCACTGCTTCTCACTTCATCATCACAAACTTACCATGAGAACTGGACTCGAGATCTATTAGTTTATTAATGATGCATACACTTACTGCATTCTGGTCGCATGAACCGGTGAGTATGGCTTCTTCCCCAACGGATTGATTACTAATCTTCCTTTTAACTGGATATGAACTGAGCCTCATTCATTGAGCTTTTGACGTGCTACAACATTGCTTCTTATTCACAACAACATGCATACTCTCCAGGTTTTGAGCTCAGTACGATGAAACAAATCTCATATTTCTCGAGAAGTTTACTCAAGAACAGAATTCTTACAACTCGGAAACATACACAGGAATGTGATGTGAATAGGGAGATGCAGTCGAATATATATATATATAGGGTTGCTGGAGCAGCCGTAATGCCCTTCCCTCCTTAGATGATGCGCCATGGGAGAAGGTTGATTGGTCAGCAGATCAACTGTACCGAGCAGTCGTACCGGTGGTGAAGCATAGTGCTTCGGAGCAAATCTGGGATCGAATGTTCCTTCTCTCCGTCTCTGCCTTAGCAAAACTAGCACAGTATAAAGTTGTAGCATCGAGCAAGTATACCGAGATGGCTTCGTTCTCGAGAGCAAATTTGTCGAGGATGAACAACTGGCACAGAAGTACTACTTACTCATCACAACCACATATTTTACATGATTCAGTTCTTATTCTCAGCATCAATCATCAATGCAATGATTTGATCAAACAGGATGTATGGATTTTGAATTAAATATATTTTCTCAAGTTGATTCAACAGCTTTTGGGACCAACCAGACAATCATTTTTTATTTATTTATTTTTCTCTCTTCATGTAATGTAAGAAAGATATATTAATAAGGCTATAAGAAAACCATTCAGACAAATAAAACAAGTAAGAAAATAAGAAGATAAAAATCATAAACCACATGGCAACACATTTATGTGAAAAACCACAGGCAAGACTCCATAAACTGATCACAATCAATGAAAAATAATCAATAAGATGAGTTTACTAAGGAGAAAAATCAGATGTCAGAAAACTAAGCAGGAGGGGGGAAGTCTAATCTACATCAAAAAAAAATCATGAAAATCAAATTTGAATGGACCATCCAATCATCCTCAGATTTTTTTTCTGCTCTGATGGCATCCTTTATTTTCTTCCTTGGCTTTCTTCAACATGTCAGTATTAGGATTTCATCTGTATCACCACTTGTCAGTTCTACCCAACAAGTAGTGTGGACTAGCAATAGTTTATTAGAAATTGATGATAACCCAAATATTCTATTCTGTAGACTTTGTTTTGCTTAGTAACCATAATTACTTGAGTATTAAGTGTTTTTTCCTATAAAATCCAATGTATTGTTTCCACATAACCATTCAAATTGAAATTATATCCTCTTTTTTTTCACCACACTCATCTCTTTGGTATGGTCAAATTTCCTTGCTCATAGTACCATTCCACTCCTTTTTTATCCTGGAAATGAATGATAAGTTTGTGAGTTTTGACAAAGTGGATGTGAGAAGCACCTCCCAATGCAAGCTGGGCAACATGGCTCATGGCTTTATTCAGCAAGTTGAGGGACAATGGCCCCCACTCCTCGAAGCTCATATACGACACAATTCCATCTTTCTATATCTTACAATTTCTTACTTTCTCACAGATGTCCCCATCTCCCACAAAATCTTTTTCCATGGCACCAGTTTCCCCCTGATGGAGAATCCCACACTCACCTCAATGAGATAGATAGTTCTTAAAGTAAATAGTCATGATTGATTTACAAGAGAGAAAGAAATTGAAAGTAATTCCTTATTACTTAGAAGAGAGTCGGATGATAAATATATAAAATTTAATTTATAAATCTGAAAATTAATATCAAATTTATCGTATGTTAATCTCGATGAGGTATGTTGTAATTTGATTGTGTCCATCAAGTTGTATTAAAATTTAAAATTTTAATAAAAAAAAACTTATGCTTAGAAGCTATTTAACGATGAATACAGTAAGGCTGAATACCTTAAAGATTCAAAGTTTCATAGTATCTATTAAAACCTTGTATCGATATTACATCTATTTTTTCTTATATCAAGTATCGAAACATTGACATATATCGAGTTCTAAAAAATAAAAAAAAACTATTTTTAGTTTATGTTGATTCGAATATGTATAATGCTGGGCAGTATTATAAACATCAGAAAAGAAAACTATTTTAACGCAATGAAATTTGGTAATGCTCCATTAACTTTGACGAATCTAAGAAACCAACACACATCCAAATGACGTTCATCAATCTCTCGTTGCATGTAACGTTAAAAAGACATTCGGTGATGTTTTCTGCCACAGCGATGATGTCTCCAAATGCCTGCATAGAGTCATCCTCCTGCCCCATCGCAAGCAATCTCCAGACAAAGGAATACCAAACTTGCATCATGGTCTAATTCTCGACAAGATCTCTCTCTCTCTCTCTCTCTCTCTCTCTCTCTCTCTCTCTCTTCTTTTTCTTTAGCCACTCTCCCTTTCTCTTTCCCTTTCTTTTTTAGTATCCTTGCCTGCAATCTCCAGACATTCTTAACTGTGTTGTTGTCTGTCCTCTCCCTTCTCATACATCCCATAAAAGCCAGCTTGGACTCGTCAATGGCCACCGCCACCACCACCACCACCACCACCCTCATCATCATCACCCATTGCTCGCAGCTCCTCTCTCTTTTCCTCAGGGCAAGCCTAGATTCTTGAGCTCCCCGCAACCCCATCCACCTCGGTCCACTCGCTGCCTTGTTTCTAGCTACCACGCTTTCCTTTACAAAAGCAGCCAAAGGAAGAATATTATTCCTTAATTGAACTCTCGGAATCACTTCAGCCCCCTTTGGCATCTTTTGCTGCCTTCACTATATAACCCACCCGGCATTCTCCTTCCAGACTTATCGATTCCATCTGCTTTCATGTGCCTGCTTCCTTCTCCTACACTCTCCCAGAATCACAGTGCAACCCTGGAGTCTTCTTCTTCTTCATGGAGGTAACAATCTAGCTACCATTTCGTTTCTCTGCATTACAGCAATATGAACCATGCAAATGGCTTCTCGAGTTCGATGAGAACAAGCTCATGCTAGTATCACTTTTGGTGCCACAGACTATTGAGCTGAAGGTGGACATGGTGGCATTGCATGAGAAGAGATTGAGGAAATGCCTATCCAAAGTCAAAGGTGTGATCCAAAACTCTGCAATGTTCACCCGGTGGTAGTAATACATCGTGACGGTCTCTGTGCTCATTGTTAATGTTTGGCAGGGATAGAGAGGGTTGAGGTGGAGGCCAGCATCGAGAAGGTGGTGATCACCGGGTATGCAAACAGGAATAAGGTCGTGAAGGCCCTCAGGAGAGTGGGGCTGCGAGCGGAGTTCTGGTCTGCGCATAATGAGATACTCAGCACCTATGCCACTGGAAGCGTCATGTTCAACACCTACAGTTTCTTTTAGGGAGCCGCAATGCATACACATCCTAACAACACTATCATATATCTTTGTTCATTTGTTTCTTCTGCCTTTTCCTTTGTTTGAGAGGGGACCGGTGGCCATGTTTCACTGCCACAAGCTCTGAGAAGAGTTATCTGTGTTCATCCTAATAACCCCCCTGTGTTTTCTGTAACTAAGAGGTGGTAAACCAGATGGTTGAATTCAATAGGGATCTCTGCTCACGGAATGATCACAGGATGAGGAGGGTATAGCCATAGATGATGTGTGGTGAGGTTCTGCATGCACACGCAAGGTTTTCTAGGTTACACAAGTCTTCTTCGAGAAACAATAGGCTGCACACCCAACGTTTTATGTCAATGAGCTGGTGGTTTAGTGCACAAGGAAGACGAACCTGCATAAAGGTGTTAATGGCGACATTAAATGTTAAACTGGAGTGCTACATCAAGGTTCAATTCAAACATAGGTCAAATATTAAACTTATAGTTCTAATTTGATCCAAAAAAGTAACTGAATAAGTGATTCAACATATTTAGGTTCAAATTAATAGTAATAGACCCATCTAGACCTTGTAAACTCATATCTGATGCGGAGTAAACTGAAGTATTATAGCAACTCAAAGCAATAGGATGGATACCATTGGCTGAAAAACTGAAATATTGCCGATCCTAGACTCGATCCATGTACCTTTCCATTTTATGTAATCATAATCTCCACATATAAATCATGAACACGCTAATAAGTGTTGAAGGTTCAAAAAATGTCGACACATGCAAGTCCACAAAGAGTACTCAGATACATGATAATCTTGTTTCAGCAAAGAACCTTCAGCATATGATCAACCAGATTTGGTGCAAAGGACCAGAAACATGTTTTCCCAGCAATTTGTTTGCGTAGGTTCGTCAGTACATAGCAAGGGACAAATTCCAGAGTAGTTTGGAAGAACAGACTGCTAAAAATGCGGCTGGGAAGTTGATATGTATGTTCTCACTGAACAGCACAAATGGAAAAGATGAGAGAATTTTTAAGAGGATCAAGGCAGGCACGAGTTTGTTTAAAGAGTCAGGATGGTTCAAACAATGTCGTCGACATAACATAGCTGCCATAGAAAATCTAGATCTGAAGGGCAGTCGCAATAGAGCCAGCAAGACTGAGCACCTCAAATGGAGCCTTGTTAGCTATGGCCTTCACCGTAAGTGGGCATGAGTCGGTTATCCAAAAGTATGCAAATTGATGATCTGAACCCTCT